CTAGATGACTGAAGAAAGAAAAGAAAATGGGGATTCAAACTTTCCAAGTGATTGAGGGCAAATGTGAGTCACTTCAGTGCAAATTTTCAAGCTACCAAATCAGGCTATTGACCTGTGGGTAAAAGAGGTCCAACAATATCTGTCCAACTTAAAAGGATGTTCCTTGCCATAATTATTTTATAAAATGTCTCAGGATCTCAGATGAAAGGACATAAATATTACTATTTATACCACTGAAAATGAAGCGCACAACTCAATGTTCTTAGCAAAAAGATTTCTTATTATTTTACTGGTACCTCAATTTTCACCTCCTTCATAATTCCAACCCCATCCCATAAATTATGGCTACTTCAAGCCTTCTCACTTATTGCACTTTCCTGAACTGGTGGATGACCTTACTTCTATACTCTATCAAGACCAAAAAACATCCTGCTTTGTCCCATGTCAAGACATATGGCTGTTTTTCCTGCATCTTCCTATCATCTTCAAACTATTTTTGTTGTTCTTTGCATTGACAACTTTGCATTGTTTTCCAAAACCAAGCAGATATAAAAGCCCTACAAGGAGGCAAATTGTCAAGCCAAAGCAGTAAAGGTTTTATGGCTCTCCTAATGCTTAGCAGAAAGCAATAAGCTGCAATGCCTAAAATTTTTAAGTGCAGTCTCTTTGCATAGAAGATGCATGTTGCTATTTCAGTCGCTACAGCTCACATGCAACTGTTGGGCTGAACTACTTACAAACAAAAAATAGATCTTCTTAGCCCATGTGCTTCAGAATACTGCAGTGTTTAAAAAAAAAAAAAATAGAAAAAAAGTATGGCCGAGGGAAATTTGAGCCAAATGAGCGACCAAATATTTCACATGAGCAGCAAGGTAAGCGTTGCTGGGAGCTAAGTGGCTAAAGTATTCCAACAGCAGAGATAATATATATTTTTTTTTCCATGTATTTGGGTAATTCATCATGGCAATACACAAAAGCATTTACTGTGTGATCCATTTTCTAACCTATCACCAAACCACCATCAACCCAGTGTACAGAATGCCAACGAACAGCATGTGACACAGTGGAAAAAAAACATGTCTGAAAAGGTGATGAAACATATATGCATCAGCAGAACTGGGCTGAAAGAGGTGGAGATTTTGGCTTTGGGAGTTAATGCCTCTCCAGTCTCTAAGAACTGGCATGGGCTTGCGATGCTCCTTACTAAAAGCTGTACAGTTCATCAACACCTCTAAAAGGATCTGGAACCCAGGAGCCAGAAAGGGGACAACACAGCTGCAAAGAATAGCATTAATGAGGAGAAAAAAACAGCACAAGGAAAGAAGTCAGATATTTAACAAACTTTTAATGGTCTTTTCTTCAGCTGTTTGTATTCTGCCTATGAGCTCCAGATTCCTTTAAGATGTAACTGCATCCAGTCTTCACAGCGTGTTTACACTGTTTCTCAAATGACTGCTGTGGCAAGGTTTCTATAAAAAAAAAAAAAAAAACCAAAACACAAACAAAAACCCCTTTTTCCTGCCTGTCGTTGAAGATGTCACATTTGACTGTCTTTATATTTTATAATAAGCCAGCCAGGTGCTGCTCCTGCCAAAAAAACAGATCTTCCGGGTGTTCCAAATTGTAATAACTTATACAGCTAGCGGGTTATTCTTTTGCTTTTAATAGTCTAAGACACTGAAAAGAGGAGAAAATGTAAGTGTTGCCCACTAAGTACTATGTAACAACTCCAGCCACTGTATGCAATTTCATTTCATACATCCAGCTCTCTAAGGAAATAATGCTTCTCCAGCTGAGTTAAGGAGCCACTTTCACGGCCATTCCCTCTTCTGAAGCCACTAAAGGAAAAATCAGAGCGATGCACTTTTTAATGACTTTGGCATAACTAAAAGAAAACTTCACTCTATAAAAGGAAGCCTGGTTTCTCTCCTTATTTGGCAGTAAAACATGTACTGATTGTGAACATGGCTTGCATACAAAGTACATTGTGATTGAGCTGTATAAGCATTTCAGTTTTAAGATGGCACTTCTAATCTTTCTCTCTCCGTTGCATGATCCAAAGGCTATGATGACTTAAAATGCAGTTTCCAGTTGTTTACAAAGCAAACTTAAGACAGTCAAAAAGCTTATTGTTCAGGAGCCATTATTCATCCACAAATTAAAATGAAGAGTAGCAGCAAGGGTTATACATTGATTTCAGTGCTATTTACATGCTGAGCTCCTGTATTATTAGTTCACAGGTTTGAGAAAAATAACCTTGAAACTGCAAAATTTTTATTGTATGTGGGGCAGCAGTCAGTCTAGTCTAGTGTACTCTCCCGTCTCATGGCTTCAACTAGCCTTTTTAAATAAAAAATCCTGTTCCAGTCTGTTTTAAGATAAGATGTCCGAAGGGAGTTTTATCCTACCGCCCAATAACTTGGAGACTGGCCTGTGTGCTAAATCCTTTCCAAAAGCTGTCTTTTTATTTTAAAATTTTTGTTGCCAAACCTTGAAGCTATTGCTTCTCTTTTAGACCTTACTAAGCTCTTGGCCATACCATTCCCGCCACAGGATACTTCTTTTCCACAGGGCTGTGACAAGTCAAAGCAAATGGCAAAATTTAAAAAGTAACGGGAAAAATTAATAGAAAAAAATAATCATCCCTTACTGTTAAATGAGCAAGTCACCAAGTTTGGCTGTGGAAATTCCCCAAGTAAAGGTCACAGGAGGCTAGGAGAATATTGTAAGGAAGCACCAGTAGCCGCCTCTTCTTCTGTTCCTCTGGGGACAGCGGCTGCAGGCAGTAGGACACAGGGCAACAGCCTAGATGGGCCTTCAGTCTCGTCTCACCTGCCTGTGCTTATACAAGGTATTTCAGACCAGAGGATTTCATCATTCTAACTGGAGGGATAAACCTCACTGGCATGACCACAGCTTACACATCTTGGGCATAAAATGAAAGTCAATTGGAAATTGTGTGTCAAATGGGCAGAGTAAACAGTACATTTACCAGTTTAGACAAGACTGAGTTACTGAAACACTAAGACTGAAAGATCAGGCTAGAGATCTTCACATTAGATACAATTTCTCTCTCAACAGGTGGATGTAGAGCAATACAGAGGGCTAACTGCTTTTTGATTAGCTTTTGACACCAATGAAATGAATTTTTACCAAATGCCAATATTACTCAGAGGCTTCCGCAGCTGCTGGCTTGAGTCCTGTCTCTACAGTTATCCTGGCTATGCAGGAAGAGGGGAGCCACTCTATCTCCTGATAGAAATTTTGGAGAGCTGCCAAGGGGCAACGTGAAAGGATCCATTCATCCAGCGGTCAGTGGTGGGAGCGCTTACAGGACTCAGGGACTACACAACCACAGTAGAGAGGGATGGCAAATCTGCACTTGTGTCCCACATTATGTTCCTTGATGCACAGAGTATTTATGGTAGAAATTCAGAAGAAAAAATAAAGCATGGCAACATGTAATAGGCTAAAAGGTATTTAGTTGTTTATACAGTCAAAGGGAACCACTGAACTAATAAACAGGTTGTTATTCCTGTGAGGGGAGGACAAGCAGCATATTAGCTCATTTTATTATTAAACACACTAATCTGATATTAATTTAATTGATCCAAATTGTTCTTACCCAGCTGAGCTTAGCTTGTTCAAATCAGCTTGACGCAGGCATGTTATAATTCATTAGTTATTTTCCTTAGCCAGTTCAGGGAATTTGAGAAGAATCAGGTGCACCGGAGAAGCAAAAAGGCGTAAGAGACTGACTGCTTTTCCCTGGCCATTTCTCTTCCCTTTTCTACGTTAATTCTGCTGTCGATCACTATTGCCAGCTAGAGCTGAGCCTGCCAATCACTCTGACACTCTGCATTTCCCAAACCAGAGATTCTTGTGTGCAAACTGTTGACTCAGTTTTAAATATTATTCCTCATAGTACTATTTTTTACTACATGCTATAGAATTCTTGTATGCACAAGACGAATGCTCGTGAGGACTTCATTTAAACAGGAACATGACAGAATTGATAAATCTAGTGGCAAGGGCAGCCAAGAAGTAAGAGAGTAGAAGAGATCTGTGCATTATTCTACCCACCCACTGCACTGAACGTGTGACTTAGTGTGTCACACTGTCTTAACCCAGCCTTACAGTATGCTTGACATTTTACAGAATAAAGAGATGACCTGGTGACCCAAGCAGAATAAAGTAATATTTTTAGGTGCAAAGCCACTGGGACTCAGCATATGGAGCTGCTGGAACTGCTGCAAGATGGTTGTTATGGTAGAAAACTATCAAAGCAGAAGAAAAGCAAAACTATCAAGAGGAAAATAGGACCACTGCAATCAGATGGAAAAGACCTTCCACCTGCAGAGGTTATTGAAAACTTTGGAAACACGGTGTTTGGTCACTACTGCTCCCTCAAACCACAAAGCTGTAAGTATTACTTGTGCATTGTGGGAAACACAGCACATTCTTTTCTCTCTGAGACCTGGACAGGGTAGATGAAGAAGGACACCGATCCAAGGACTTCAAAACTGTAGTGGATCATGATAACTCTCCCGCCACCATCCTCACCCTTGCCACCATGTGTGGGCTGGTAGAGGCTCCCACACCTCGCAGAGATGTTCTCCTTGCACAAGGCTTTGCTGCAGACCCCAGCTAGTGTCGGTCTTGGTCACCAGTGTGGCTGGGACCAACTGAAGCAGGGAAGTGCTGTTGTGCTGGGCAATTACTGCTTGTTCCTGAAAGATAGATCTGTGTCAAGCCCCAAGGAGGGAGCAAGCATCACTCTGCTTAATGTCTCCCTCCCCACAAAAGCATCTTTTCAAACCAACTCTGGGGAGAAGCCATTCTGGACCAACAAACAATTGCCCTCAGGAGAAGGTTTCCTCCTCCTTTGCTTCTCTTTCCTGGACTGGGGATTTCTTCACTCAGATAATGCTGGAAAACCATCACTATGCAAAACCTCTTAATGCCACGGTTAAAATAAGCTGAGGAAAAGGCCAGCTTACCTTGCATTGTCCCTCCCATGTGATTTCAAGAAGTTCATATCACGGTATCTGGACAGGAATGCTACTAACTGGTCATTTGTCCTGCAAGAGAAAGAACGAAAGATGCACAAATTACACTGCAAAAACTACTTTATGTACTTATTGCTGTCATTTGGGGACCATCCACAGACTCTTTGAAGGAGACAGTTGCTGATAAAACTTACATCCTGCTGCTAAACTTCACTGACTCCTTCTACTCAGGAAAGTGTACTTGGAAAGAAGCACAGATTTTTTACATCTTAATGGATTTCCTATCAATTCTTGGCAGATGTTTTAAGCATTGTAAGAGTGTATGTATTAAGTAATACTGCTCAGCACTTTTTAAGTATGAAAATCCAGCTGTGAGATGACTGCACTGATAGTCCCATTTTACACGCTCTGCTAGATCTTTCCTAGGGAATTTGGGTAAATATCTCTTGTCATTTTATTTGTTTTACCCTTGTAATAGAGAAGAGGCCAATGTTGGAATGCATAAATCAAGAGAATTTGGATGTCAAAATGCCAATATAATTAATAGGAAAAAAGGAATTTAGAAGGTTAATTCCAATTAGTATAACTGGCAATCTGACACCAGTATTTTCAAAATTTCATCTGACATGTCCAAGAATGTATTTATGCTTGACAGCTTTTGTGATCTGTTATTTCTTTAACAATGGAGCAAAAATATTCTCTATTTATCTAGGTCAGCATATTTAGGAAAAATGAATAAATCATATTAAAAAGATCTTCATCTCCTGAGTTGCATTCAAAACCACAGCATTATAGATACAACACCATTTAAGCAATGGTCTGTAATGGAGCTAATGGCAGAGAAACTAAAGATACAACAGCTGTCAATAGTACTGTACCTTGAAAGCATTTCATTATTATAAGCCACAGAAAACCAAGTTAAACCAGAGTTCTGTATGAAATGCATATAACCCCCAGGGTCAGGCTGCAAAAACTTGGATATGTTATCAGTCTAGTAAACTATCTTCATAATCGCATTGATTTTATCTGGACCAAGTGAAGTATCTCCCTATGAGTCAGCCTGACTGACCAGGCTGTAGGAGTCTGAGACCCTCCTCTCATGCTCACTCATTTAAGTTGTAATACCTCCCAGGGTCAGACTCTGCATCTCAATTTGGCAACCTCAGAAAACTGCTTTCTGTATAGTAAGCTGTGCAGATTTTCACATTTGCTGCTCCAGTGATTCTCCATCTTACTGGGATGAATAGGCATTTAGTGAATTTACTTAGCAATGCTTCCACATGAAATGGTTTCAATGGCTAACATCTTCGAGTGAGTTTCTAGGCAAAAGCTGGCATGCAAAGATGATCTTTAGAAATATAACCAAGTTTGGAAGTGCCTGAGCTTTAATTTCCTTACAGGATAAAAATCAAATCACCCGAAGTAACAATCCACACCACTCAATAAAACATCATAATTTCTAGATTGCTCATCAACCTGTATTTCACTATTCAGCAGTGCTCTATCAAGTGTATTTGGACTCAGGGCTGCTGTACAGTCTTTTTAATGCTTTTCACTTTTTAGATTATGCTTATAAATGCCCACATGATGTTTAGTGCTCAAAATAATAATTGACATTCTCCCGCTTCTTGAAAACGTTGGTGGCATCTTGGTCCTACTTTTAAAATTTATTAAAAAAAAAAAAACAACAAAAACAAAACAAAAAAAAAAAAACAAAAAAAAAAAAAAAAGAAAAAACTTATACAGAGTCTTACACTTTGTCAGCTGAGTATGCTTCTTTTCATGTGTTGACAACATGGAAATAAAACATCACATTTTCATTTGGTATAACTTTCTAGTTATTTGACATTTAGATTTATGCGGTCAACCAATTCTGTGCTCAGCATGGGAGCACACTGAATATCTATTAATCTTCCATTCAAACTGCTTCTTCTGGCCCTGATATCATGAGGATGCTGCAGATCACCTGTGAATTATTCCACCACATGACATTAAAAAGAAAATCAAAGGTATTGAACATGCCATAGACGCTAATGCAGTTGCTAAAATCCTCCTCACCTTTCAGAAAACTTTGCCTTCAGGGGTATATTTCCTAAATGCCTCTAACACAGACTACTGCCACATTTCTTCATGTACAGCGGCAGCAGGGTCTCTACACCATCGCACTGCCTCTGGCACCAGTTATTTACAATGCCTCTGGCACTCCTTCTGAGAAACACGGGCCAATTTTTTCTCTAAGTAAGGCAATGGAAAGCTGAGATTTTCCGCTGAAGACATCACTGGGAGCAACATCAACTCCACACTGTCAAATTAAATTCTAACATAGCTCCACCAATTTCAGGGATAATTTACTAAGCATAAATTTGGCACAAAATCTTTTACTAACCATCATGGTATAACAGAAAGTAACAAATGCAACATATTTCTAGTATTTCCTTCTTAATAAGGAAATAAAAAAGTCATGGAGATAGGGATAGTAGTTCATCCTACTGATTAAAACACACGAATATACATATTACATTCCTATCAGTTTCCCTAGTGTGTAACACAGAACAAACACAAATCAAGGAAAAGTCTTTTCCACAGTTGTGTGAGGATGGAGCTGATGGATGCATCCACACAGCTCCTACTTCTATTTACTTTTGTTATTAAACTCACTCAAAGGGTGAGGGACCAGGGAGAAGGATTAGTCAGCTGGTTACCTGTGCCATTAGGAGGGAGGGAGGATGGTGCAAGAGTTGAGGCTGAGAGACAATGTGTAGTCTTCAGGTGTGCAGCATGCAGAAAGAAATGGGAAATTAAACCTCCAGTGAACTCACAGTGTGGAGAAAGCTCCTGCATGTGGGAGGGCTTCCCTAAGAAGGTGACAAATGAAGACTGATGAGGAAACAAAGTGTTTTTGACTTCATTGATGTATATTCGGTGTTAGCAAGGGAAGGTCTGCTTAACAGAGGGTCCATCTCCACCAGAACTTTACTGAGGTCACCTCGATAAGGTCCTGCTGCTCCCCTCCTGCAGCAAGAGTGGACGGAGGTGGCAGGGGCAGCGCACTGTGCCTGCCTGCTGAGATGCCACACAGCAAAACTCAGTCAAGCTTCCCATGGGGTCAGGCTCAGAGGATGGCAGTGCTCAGGCAGGCAGGCAGGGGGGCTCTGGAGGCTGCAAAAGCAGCTCCAGGGCTGCTGGTGACTCAACCCTTGGCATTGCTCAACCTGGGGACGTGGCTGAGCCCCAGCCTAGGGATTAAGGTCAAGATTAGAGTTAGAGGTCTAAGGAAGAGAAAGGTGGGTCCTGTAGCAAGAAGGGAACTCATAAGATACTGCCAAAGCAAAGCAAGATCTGCTCTCAGTGTTCTCTCATGAACAGCCCCTGGCCTAGGACTGAGGTGTCCTGGGGCATGAGCAGGCTAACCAGGCACTCAGCTATTACTGTAATGCTGAGCATTGCAGTAATTTCGGAATATGGCATATACACTGGGAACTGAAATGCAAAACTGGAAAGAGAAACACTGACTTTGTGTTTGCATTGTCTGAACATGCTGGCAGGTCTGCCCAGGAAGTGGTACAAGTGTGTCCCTGTGAAGAATCACAGTCAAACAGTGCTGGGCTTGCTGGTTTTAAGCAAACCCTCTAAGTCCTGGTGACTAATCCAAGCAAAGAGCAGCGATCCCCTTAGTTTACAGCTGTGAAAATAGATTAAGAAAGTCTTTAGAGAATCTGAGAAAAGGAAAACAAGCAATTGTTACTTTTGGAAGACAGTGAAGGCCAATATAAATGTCCTTGCTTCAGCGAGGTACTTTTAATGCATGGGCAATCTGAAGGATGTAAGGAATAGCAGCCACTTCAATGGGACTATTCATATGTCAAAATTTACACAATTGTATAACAATTTGGCCAAGTTAGATCAAAAGTTCAGAAACTTTTTGCAGCACACAGGTACAGAAACGAGACAGTTTCATTCTGTGTAAGAATCAGATGAAGGAAAGAGCAACTGCTCTGTTGGGATTCTGGTCTTGCTGCCGTTTTGGTACTGTATGGGCTGCCCCCTGCATGGCGAGAGCCCGGTGCCCCGCTCCAGGGGGGTATTTCAGACATGCTGGTGTTGGTCCGCCTGTCCAGTGTAGACCCTGGGGTTCTCCCCCACAGCCTGGACTGGGAACCAGGGGTGTGCCCTGGCACAGAGCAGTCTGTGGCTCTGCAAACACACAAGACCCTGCTGATTAAAACAGGCAGCAGTGACAGTAAAAAAAACTTTCTGGGGACCACAGATGGCTGCAACCCAAAAAGCCACCGACTTAACTGAAACCCAGGCCAAACTCCAGAGCCCACCCACAACGATACTGCAGCAGAGGCAGCGCTGCCAAAAATCTCTTTTGGTTTCTTTTCTGCTTCAGCAGATGAGGTCACAGGTAGGAAGGTTTAGTTTGCCGTGAGGTCTTCAAAAAATGTCCTCATTTCAGATAAATCCCCGGACTAGGTTTATAAACTATTTCCTTTATCAAGGACTAGACAGGGCAATCTTGTTTTTAAACTTCATGAACAGTGCTAGGGACTGCAATGCATCTGCATACAAAATATAGATTATCTCTCTGTCTCCTACTCACTTAATTTCTGATTTATCAGGAAGGTAAGGCTAAATAAATGTTTTTAGATGTTACACATATATACAGTGTTTCTGCTTGGAAAGTAGCTCATACTGGAGAATTCTTCTTTTACTGGATCAAGTTTTGAGATAAAAATCTAATGAAATCCATGGAAATCTCTACTATGGTCTCACTGGGCTTTAGACTTCTACAGGCAACGTCATTCTCTTCAGCCCTACTTCATTAGCAGTGCCCGGGAAGGGATGGCTTTTACTGCACTGGCTCTTGCCAGGTTGTTCTCAGCACTTCATTCACCAGGATTGCCCCGCATTGTCCCAACTTAAAAGTCTGTCATGAACTTACCCTGAATTATATTCACAAGCATGGGCTAGGGACAGCTGCTAAACTGAACCCAGACTAATTTCAATTTTTAATCATTATTTTCTGGCATTATTTTATTTTCTTCTCTTTTCCTGTATGCCTGCTCTTA